TCGAGGGTGAGTTATTCTAAGGGTTCTAACATGTGCTCAATAAGCGAAATGCGTAGCGTGCCACAGTCTAAAGATCTATGTGGATCATGTGCCAAATCTGGTAAAGTGGGTTATTCGTGTCGCAAATACTGCAAGATTTTTCTTGCGGCTGGTCCGAGTTAAATATAATCAGGTCACGTTAGTAAACAAATCAGATTCTCACGGTCCTGCGGGGAATGCACAGCTATCCCACTGATAAAAGTGTGCTCCCATTTTCGCAGAAGCACAACCAGCAACTAGCCAAGTTTGAGGAAATGACCACCGAAAGTACCACAACCAGAGTAAGCATAGCGGATTGGACAGCCCAGGCATCCCCAGTAAGTGCTGCTTCAATCCTAAGGAGAACGGCTGGTAGCACCATACTCAAAACGACATCAATAGCCCATAAAAGTAACTGCTATTCCAACACGACAGTTGGCTCACATTCGACCAATGCGGTTATCAGATCGACCGGAGTAACTACACGCAAAGCTATGTACTGCTTCCTGAGGGAGTGCACAGCAAAAGACCAAGCCGATACTAGCGAAAGTTGAGTTACGGTTGTTTACAAGAAAAGCCGACATTTAAGATTAACAACCCTCCCAACCGAATCGGAAACTGAGGAGCGAAGCTGGGTTCTCGTGGTGCAAGTACCCCCGGGTTTTCTGCGATACGTCCCCGGGTACCTCAAACACTGCCCGTGACAGGTCGAAAGATGTAAACAAACAACAACAACAACATGTGCTAGGCGTATTGTGCTCCAGCATTCCAGAATAAAAGTCGACTTCGGAGGCAGTCAGTTGGACGACCTAGGTCACTGGGATGTTATTAGGAACCTATTCGGAGTTGCACTGAAACATGTACACGTAGTGCGAATCACGCGGCACCCCAACTCTAAGCGTTGTGCTGAAATTCAATAAGGAAGTAGAATCAGTTCTACTGTCGACAGATAGATTCAGAAACGAACACTGCTGCATCCGTGTTTTTCCAGACATCCCCTCAGACAGGCGTGATCTAATTAACCTCACCTTAGAGGACTGCCGCAAGGAAACTTTAATTACAACTATTCTTGTTCGCGGTGTTCATGAAAAAGGAGTATGCGGGGAGCATGAAATAACATCCCATGATAAAGAACAATGGTGTCATATTCGTGAAACATTCTCCTTGGATGACGTGCCAGTGGCATCGGTGTCAAGGTTTCATACCTCACCGAACTACGAAGAATATGGACCGACAGAGTTGAAGATGGTCCTACAGTCAAAACATATGGTAGTACCACTGCTAAAAAGCTGGTTCATGTTTCGTTTCAGGCTGCCATCTGAGCTTCGGCTGAAGACAGTCAGCGATAGGCCCCTTAGAGATGATATGTCACTGGGAGTAAACACGATGGGAACTATAAAGGAACAATGCACCAGCACTGTGTCTAAAGAGCCCATACAACCTGTTGAAGAAGACAGTAATTAGACACCTTACGATGCAGATAGAAGATTAGCTACTGGATTAACTATGCAGAGGATGAATAAAGAGTCGAAAACTACGCTAAGGACCCACCGAAATAATGATTAGTCGCTGGCCGCTTACTGGTCGGCGAAACTTCGCGTATGAACCGCACCTATCGTTTAAATTTGGGTTACTTTCAAGTATGTACGCTAACGCCAAAGGGCTTCTCAGTAAACTTCGGCTACGTGAGGACGCGAATGATTGGGACCTAATTTCCATTACTGTAATTTGGTTGCATCAAGAAATGGATAAAGAGAGCAGAGGAGGTGGGGTCTTTCTCTACTACCGCAGCGACCTGCAATGTGTAATAGTTGATGATCTGGAAACTGATGTTACTGGCTCACTATGCTGCCGGCTCTGACTAAGACACAACGACGCAAGTCTCGTAGATATCGTTTGCTGCACTCCAACATCCACTTCGAAAACAGACTCCCAATTGATACGTGCCTTGAACAAGATAACACGCACTAGGTACAGCTACATTCTCATCTCTGGGGACTTCAATGTACACGATATAGAGATATCGGCATCACCCAATAAAAAGTTCAAAGTAGACTTGCAAGAACTTATCGCTAATCTTCCCTTGAACAATCATGTCACCACGCGCACTGGATTGAACACAGCAATCAAACCGTCCATAGTGGACCTTGTGCTCACAAATGGACAGTGCATTAGGTATAACGAAGCCCTTGTGTCAAGGGCGAAACGTTACCAAACTAGTATACTAACTGATTGTTTCCAAAACTCTCTGAACCCAGAACGTTTAACTATGTTTGTTATGCAGAGTTTCTATCTGAACACTCGGAATTAACTCATACAATCATGTGCTACCACGTCTTGAAAGAGCTAGTCGAAATAGCATCTAGGGAATTATGAAACAACAGTCCCCTTGAAAAACTTTGGACAGAGTTCGTTGACTGAGTGACATGGTCAACAGAGCATCAGAGACCAAGCCGTTTAGTTCCGAAAAAATGCCTTTAATTTTAAGGAGCAGGACTCAAAAATGCATGACGATAAAAGATGCAGCATGCGTGCCTACAAGGCTAACCCCGACACAGAGACTTGGGATAACTTCCTGATCCATCGCAACCAGTTAACTACACTTGTCCGTGAGGACAAAGCAACGTATCAACAGTGCCCAGTCAAAACGTTTCTGGTAAACAACAAACCACTGTATAGGTATGTAAATCGTATTCGTAAAGTATGGCGTTCTCCAGTTTACACAGCAGGTGGAAGAGTACAAAGCGCCGAAGAAACAGCCAATGCTCTGTGGCTGCAATACGCCACAAATTTCAAACTCACATAACATCAAGCACAGTACTGACTAAATGGTTTACACAGATAATTTTCAATCCAGCAACTGTGCTAAGGAAGTTCGTCACATTGCTCTCATTTAGCAAATAACATCCACACAAGAGCACTGAAGACTGCGGCTACCAAGCAAGTCGAGTCACTGTCACGTTTTCCCCAAAGATACTTCGATTAACAGCAAGGGTCCACTAAGTGGAAGCGCAGCATTATAACCCTAATTTCTAAAGGCAGCAATCGTTCAGATTCTGCGAGCTATCGCCCAATGAGTCCCCTCGCTGTACTCGCGGTGATGGAAGCGGTCGGTGCTGAGGCTCTAATGGACTACCTGAAAAAAGCAACATCTTGGCATCGGAGTAGCATGGCTTCCGTCAACATCGGTCAAGCACCACCAACCTGCTAATGGCACGAGGTATTTGGACTCAAATGGCTGATGGTGGAGTTGCAGTCGAATTCATCTGGCTAAATTACTCCAAAGCTTTCGACCGTCTGGATCACCGCATTCTACATCACAGGCTTAACGTACGTGTTACGGGATCACTCTCTAACCATATTGAGGTGGAACGTGGTGTTCCCCAGGGCTCGGTGCTGGGACTGCGCCGATTCTTCGTGTTTATCAACGACTGGAAAGTGTTACCTCCACAAATTTCCAGCTTGTCGCCGATGATGACAAGATATGGCGGGCGATTAATAACAAGGAAAAACACGATCTACACAAAGATCATCCAGATTGTAGTTAACAGTGGTCAACAAAGAAGCTACTTCAGTTGGATGCAGCTAAGTGCAAGGTGGTCCATCCGCGTCACCAGCCAGTGAGCGCGTACAAGCATGGAGACCACACCTTACCGAAGGTCGCTCAAGGGCATGATCTGGGTGTACTGATATAGAAAGATATCGGATGATCAAAGCAAGCAGAGAAGGCATCGAGAACCGGAAATCGACGGTTTAGCCTTCTTCGCAGAGCGTTCGGTCGGTTTGACCATTCAATCTTCTCACAAATGCTTGACGTCTACGTGCAACCGCAAGTGAAATACGCCGTCCAATCGTGGCAGCCCTGGCAGAAACAGTCTCATTGATCTTGAGACTCCTTAACGAAGGGCAACCAAGAACGTCTGGGGTCTGGTTCATCTGCCCTATCAGTTTAGATTGTAGTCTAAGAATGTACAGAAGTTGATATCGGCGTTTGCGGGGGGATCTCATAATGGCTTAGCAAAAACCACATTTGCCGTCCGCTGCTGGAATTGAACCACAACACTAACCTAAGAGGTCATTTTCTGAAACTGACGATACAGTATAGCCAGCTTGAATGCCGCAGAAATTTCTTTTCCCACCGCGTGTTCCAGCCTTGGAACTCTCTCCAAAAGTACGTCGCCTCTGCTCTCAATCTGATGATATTTAAAGAACGAGTTTTCGATGCGTTTTCTCATTTGCATCTCATTTTATAACTTGTTAGCCAGGGGGCTACAAAATGCAAACAAACCGTGTCTTACCAAACTCCCAAACAATAGATTTATACATTTTAAGTACGCAAACATCTCTGCTCTCCTACATATGCCAAGACGCCTTTCAATTTCCCATGAATTTTTATTTCGCAATAATTTCCATCCCATTGAAATTGTTAAGCAATTCTTTTTAACCAATAATACACCACTGTTTCATTTTCAGTTCTCTAGCATTGAAAGGACAAGATTTCAACCAGATTAGTGTCACACTTTTATCTTCTACATCCTGGTATAAATTTTCACTATATCTGAAGAAACACTGCGCAATTCGATCCCAGCAATTTAAAATAGTCTTTGAACCCGGGAGAATTAGAATAGCAGTTGTGACCTCTACCTCTTTTACGACAGTTCCGCGTTGCTAGCAAAGGGGTGCCTGGTCTTTTAACAAGGATCACGACGAGTAACGCCTGGCACAATCGGAAACGGGTGACACAAATCATATGATCACGTGCAGAGTCAAACGAATTGTATCGTTCGCTACATTTCACGGTATCCTGTCGTATAATTGAACAATCTGTAGAGAATACTGTTCCTGAGCAATAAGAGTAATAAACCGAAGAGCTGTTGCTGTAAGTAGGGTTGATTTTACCGGAAGCACGCGATATCATCGAAGGTGGTATAACGCAAGGGATACATATCAAGTCTAGCTAGCACTAACAAATGCGCACTCACTCAAATGAATAGTTCTTAGGTGTCTTCGCAAACTGCCCTTCTCAGAAAACGAGGTGTCACAGTGTTCACACGCATAGGGTCGCTGTTCTGCAGCAGGGAACAGAAAGCCATCAGTTACAGATGAATCGCACAGGGAAGACAGATAAAGAATGGCGAATGGTACATTAAGATGGGTGTACCCATCTCGCAATATAGTAAAGACTTAATGATGTCCATGAAATTCTAGAACTTAACATGGAAGAGAATGACGAGACAAAGAGTGCGAAGAGCCCATTGGTGATAGTTACAGCATACTAACGGTAGGTACCAAACGAGGTATCAAACATTCCTGTTCAGGCATGGCAATCAAAGAGCGTAAAGTAAAGATATCCACTGAAACGACATCGACATACAGAAAACAACGCAACCAGCGCAGTTGGAATCAGGAGTGAACCAAGCGCTGATGATCTCTGGATGCGTCCGAGTACGTTCGAAATGGTAGATACCGCAAAAAATCCGAGATACACTCACGCAACAAGCCAACAACCACACTACATAGTGACAAAACGATAGCCTGACAGGTGAGTTACGCAAGTTGTTCCTAAAGAAAAGTTAACTATCGTTCGTTAGTGGATTTTCTTGCGTAGATTCGTCGCAGTCAGACACAGACAGATAGCCACCACACATCCAGGAAAGCGCTAGGCGGCCGTTTCGTCCTGTTAGGACTCGTCAGTAGCGCGCACCCGCGGAATCCTGCAGGATTCGAACTCACGACCTTACTTTTGCGAGTCAGCGACTTATGTCACTGAGCCATAGGCGACGGCAGCGGACCGTCATGACTGATATCTAACTGCGATATAGCGCGGCTCATCCTCCACTGTCTTGTATGTTATGAAGGTGCAGAGGACTGGGCTGGCCCCCTGTCTGTGGCTAACTGGTCAGTTCAAAACGCCCTACCGTTCAATGTAGAAAAATGTCGTGTTGTACAATTACGCCATAGACATAACTACATATATTTGCTTGGGACAAACGGATTGCAGACTAGCTCCCAGGAACATGATCTCGGTGGGATCGCACAGAGCGACGTCAACTGTTCAAAACAGGCTGAGGTAGCTGCGAAAAGAGGCGACCAGCACGTCAGCATGCTGCGAAGGGCATTCGGAAGATTTGACCCATCAATCTTCCCAATGATGCACAATTCCTATGTGCGCCCGCATGTTGAATACGCTATACAAACTTGGCAACCTTGGTTGAAGCGCGACCTAGAAACGATAGAGGCACTACAACAAAGAGCAACAAAGAATGTAAAGGGCCTGCGCTATCACTCTTACCACCGAAGGCTGAAGTTGCTGGGTATTTTCAGCGGACGCTATCGAAGACTGCGCGGTGATCTCATATTAGCGTATCAAATATTGAGTGACCCCAACCACGTATGCCGCCATTTGCTGAAACTTAGCCACAACACGCAGCTCAGGGGTAACTGCTGAAAATTGAAGGAACAATATAGCCGTCTAGAGTGTCGACGGAATTACTTTCCCCTTCGAGTTTGCCAACCCTGGAACGCACTCCCAGACTCAGTTGTATCCTCTCCTACCTTGAATGTATTCAAAAAACGACTAGATGTTGCTCTTAGCTTCCAACATTTTGTTACCTAAACTCCTCTATTGTGGATTACGCCAAGCATGTTTTCAACTGGACTAATGTATCAAATGGACCTAAGTGAGCGACCATTTGTTACTTTTCTCACACCTTACCTCAACGATCACTGCACCTCAGTGTTTTTCTGAATATTTACGTTCGATAATTTTTTTAAATTTTACACTGATGTTAATTATCAAACTATTCATCTCGGCAGACGTTCGATAGATGCTCCAGACATTTTGATTTCATCCTATTCACCGTAACCATCCTAAGGGACGTGTCAAGCACTTGCTTTTATCCCGTGATAAATGCTTGTTCATTGTTTAACTACGACGAATCTACGCATAAAACCTAATAAATCCCCCTACTACTTACAAATAAGTCGCTAATGGATGCTTGCAGAAGCCCGCTCAAAAATTCTACAACAGTTCCATCGACGCCGTTCGGGTACGAGAGGAGTGAAAATGATTGTGTGCAGTTTCGTTTATTCGCCAAACATCGACGCAGCGCCTTAACAATTGAGGAAGCGAAGTTCAAGATGCGCGTTTGTCAATAAGTCACACCGGAAAACAGAATTATCCCTTTGGCAATCAGCAACTAAACTGGAAACGCATACATGCCGATTTCTTGGGTCTTGTGAACGCAAAACAGTTCCTTATGGGTGTGGAATTTTTCAGTAAATGGCCTGCAGTGTTCCGCACGAAACATGCAACCAGTGGTGCAACCATGAAAAGAAGATTTTAAAGCAGCATGGAACACGTAGACTCTGGTCGTGGCCAATGGTTCGCAATTCACATCTCTTCAGCTTGTCGAATACTGTGAGCAGTCTGATATTACACATTTGCATGCAATCCCACCACACTCCCAAACCAATGGACAATCGGAACACGCCTTGTTGATACGTTCAAACAGACGCTAGTGAAAAAGATAGGGAAAGGGCACTGCAAATCAGGCCCAAACCTCTAGGTACCAAACAACGTATCAACCGCAGTGGCTCTCATATGAAGGAAAATTCGTATTGTTAACATGTGGTCGCTGCCGCGGAGTACTTGTACCGCAGCAAACAAAGGTGGTATTACAATCAATGAAATAGAAGCCAAGAGCGTTGGTTTTAATCAGGACAGTTCTTGGTCAGAGGTTAGACAATATGGACAACAGACTTCATTCGGGGCAGAATCGTAAAAGTGATCAACAAAATCAAAGTAGATGATTTAAATTGGACTAGACACGCAAATCACTTGAGGTCTAAAAGTATCCATGAGATTACAAATAACCTATTCCGTCGGCCGCATCCAATGCAAATTCAGCCACACGCCGGACACTGATCGCGATCCTTCAGGTGTCGCACGGCGCAGATTTTGCAAGTTTCATGTGCCTTGATAACAGGCTCCGCAGTTTTGTCAGGTAAACTGGATACGACACATAGCTCTGCTTCAGTCGGAAAAACCGTATTTGCTCGATTCGGTGTGCAGCTGATGTTTCACTGTGGCATATAACAATACATTGTCTAAGCGACAACTGCCGTTTCCGCAACAGTCAGTTGGTAATGTTTTCGGCCAACAATTGCAAAAATTACAGGGATGAGCAAGGATCTCCAGCTCCGTAAGTCTTGATAGTATTATTTGGGCGCCGGTTTCAGATAAAACAGAGTTACCGCTGATACGTCTCCTTAGTCTGGCCTCCGCAGAAATCACCAAATTTTCGGACGACAGTTTCCAGATCAGATGAGTCTTCGCCTTTTTCGTACTGCATCGTTTCCAACACGCGGCGTGCTTCATCTCCGACCGTATGCCTAAACATAGCTAATCGGCAGGCCATCAGTTGTTCATTCAGCCGCATCAGTACAGATTGTCCAGTTACTGGCCAAATTCTGTTCTTCCATGTTTAGTGGGGCAGGTGGTTGCACAGCTGGTTGTGCTCCAATCAGCAACCAAGCACCGTTGGGTGGTCTTGGCTTGGTTTTCTCAGACACCATATCGCAGAACTCAGTCCTTCAGGGACAAACGGTTCATGCAACCAAAGCGAGCTCAGTAAAATTAACTGCATGACAAGCATGTGCGAGTCTCGATATAAATAATTAAGTCATTTCCATAACTAACAATGCTGCTGCAATCATAAGGTTCTTACTTTGAATAAGTTAAACTAACCTGATCCAGCGAACCAATCAGCGCGCAGACGAAATACAAGTAGCTGTCCAATCAAATGCTCTGTTCGCTTGCGGAACGCTTGCCGCATGCTTGCCGCATGCTTACACAAGGCAATCACAGCTATCACTTTTTCTCTTGAGAAAAACCACGGATTTAACTTCCTTCCACGCTTCCACTACTACCGATTTTGTCGTTCGCCAACTTGCATCACGCGCCAACCCTTCATTGGTTGTTAATCCCACCTCCGTTGATGCTATTTTCGATCCCAGTTTTTCCGACACCCGAAAAGCTCAATTGACAGTCGTACTTCAAACTCGATCTGTATTCCGATTGGCGTACCACAACATACGAACGCTTATGCAGATTGGTCAACAAGTCGGCCTGACGCTTACCCTGATTTTTCTTCTCTTGGCAGTGATGTTTGCTGCGTTTCCGAAACCCGGATGTAGGATACCAGCTGTGTACACATGCTGACCTCCCTTTCTGATCGCGGTACCATATACCAAATGCGTATCCACTGACGTAGAAGCACCTGGAGCAGATTTGACTGGTTTTGAGGTAGAACTAAGTAAGAAAGCCAAAGCTGCGTTGCTAGGCTTGCTACCAGTTAACAATCGGCTTTGCGCAGTTCGGCTTCAGGGATCGTGTCGTATTAACAGACATCGTGAAGAAACACGCAACTTGCTTTTCGTTTCTGCATACGCCCCAAGTGATTGCAACAGCGACTCTGTCAAGGAGGATTTTTATCACGAACTTCACCTTCTTTTGAGCAGTGGGTGTTATGACTCCCACTTGGTTACGCCAAGCTCTGACGATCTGGTATCAACTCTCCTAGTCGGACAAAGGAACGTGACTTGGAACTATATTGACGCAAGACAAAATTCAAAGTTTGTCCCACCCGTGAGATTTAGGCGCAACACGGTTACTACGCGCGAGTTGAACGGGATCTTAGACCGAACGCAACTTCATACTTAACTACCAGAAAGGAAAGTCTTTCGCAACAGGTACTTTTATCGGTCAGGCTCACGGTGATTACAGCGCAGTCCAGCTTTTCTTATATACCGCGGTTGTGAAATATATGAATTTTTATGTAGAAGGGTCCGCGTAAGCAAACCCTGGAAGCAAGTGAATTGACACTATGTGAATATGCCAACGGAATATGCCGAAAAGTGCATGTTGGTAGATGTGGAGGCAGAACTGAAAAAATGAATGTTTCTTATGTAAAAAAAGGAGACTGGAACAATAACCATAGCTCAGCAGAACTACAGATGGCTTTGACATGAGCCTGCGAAACGCAGATGGGTTGCACCAATGAAAACCCACTTCCAGCCACCTTCCCACCTGAAGTGAATGAGCCGATGCTAAATGTGTCCGTGTCAGGAAATGTTCACTACCAAAGAGTAGCATCAAATACATTGCCTGGACGATAGATACCACAGCCCACAATTACCTGAATTAGCAACCTCCTCGCGAGTACAGTTGTACAGAAACTAAAATTCACAAGGCGGACAATCCTGGACACCTCACATCGCCATACACAATAACTTGTACAACGGACACCGAAAGCTTATCTTTGTTTGATTCCCAACATATGCGTCGCCGAAAACTATATGCATGTTTAGCGGGCTTCACGGACACACCAACTGAAAAAAGCAGAACAAACAGGCCAGCAGGAAGACCGAAAAAGTGCATTGTTCATGCCGAGCCGAAACAAACCACTGTTTGCAACAGAAAGAGCAATGAAACCACAGCTTGTAGGTTTATTCACAAATGAGTATACACCATTGAGGACTCGCAAGGCAAAACTGTCAACACACGTTGAGTTTGAGTGAGCAAGTGGTGGTGACCGTATGAATCAACCGGAAGTGGGTGTTTGGCAAATAGGAAACACTGCAGTCGCAGTTCAGCCGTTGGGATCAGTTGACCACAGATAAGGATTAGTGGGGCTCCAGGTATTTCGGACGCGTAAAGTACCATTCAGCGCAGTAGCTATCACAGGACACCCACAATCAGCGGTAAGGTGTGATTGCTGAGTCTGGTATATTTCAGTCAATAAATAATCGGTTGATCGCGGAGAAAAATAATAATGCAGCAACGGACCCCCGAAATGGTGCAGATGAAAATCTAAAAGCAGAATGGAGCTCATCAACAAAGCAAAAGGCCTCATTAGGGCCTTGTTACTACGTTAATCGAGTGACTGGCATAAATGTCTCTAACTGCTTTCTGAGTCGAAATGTTACCAGAGCATTCAGTTTGTGTGTGGTGATTTACCGCTGAACACAATGTGCGGTGCGTAATGCACGTAGATAAGTGTCGATTTTTCAGTACTTCACTTGTCGGCACCACGATTACTGATTCCAAAAAGGCAACTCAATGAAAGACTGCCTCAAATATTCATCATCGTCGGGTCCGCACAATGCGCTGAAGATCGAGGACCAAACTACGGATCCAGCTCCACGTACACATTCCCATGTAGTAGACCATGGCAGATGATCACTGCGTCTAACTGGACGGGGAAGAAACTCGCTCTTTGCAAACACGGAGGTGGATAGGTCAGTCTGTCCGTAACATTCATTCCTTAACAGTATTATACAAATGTGTCTTATGTCAAGGGTTGTGCTCACGGTCCAAAGCTCAGGGGTCCCTGGAAGTTCGCTGGAGGTTAGAGGAAGCCCAGAGAATTCGTGCCGGCATTCACTGCTACTCTAAACTGATCCGCGCAGATATTTGTATAATATAACATACTCCCATTCAATATATGGAAGGGGTTTAAGGATGTGGGAATAGTCTCTCCCATCGTCGAGAAATAAAAGATTTATTTATTGTTTGTTTAAATAAAACGGCATCTTAATTAGGTTGTAAACGATGCAAAACTGCACGGTGCTAAACAACAGGGATTAGACATTAAAGAAGAGAAATTGAGATGCGTGACGCGTTGCTTAACATAGAAGACGTCCGACAGAACATATCAAAGTAATGCACACGAAAGAACCGTGCATTCTGTTCGTTCAAAATATTTCCAAGATCCCCAACCAGACATCTTGCCGATACAGCACAGTCCAAGTTGCGAACCAACGATACATTCGGCATTCAACTCACTCAAGTGAACAGAGTTTTCGTGAACCCGGAGAGTGCGCAATAGACAAAATGCTTTCTCACAATACTCGCATTTGTAAGGTCGCTCTTCTGGAACGGAAAACAAAAATTAATCGGTTACACAGAGCATAAAAGAATAAACAATGTTTTAGGGGAAATATAATGAGTTGCGGTGAATAAAATTAGAACGACCTACTGCAACTGATCAAGTGATGACGAATACGAAGAAAAGGCGTGCACTCCAATTGTAAAATAAAAATCCAGTCTGAAATATTTCATCAGATAACAGGAAATATAAATGGTGTTGAAAACCAGTTAGATTTTTCAATTCGACACACTGCGATTAGACTATATTTGGTCCACCGCAATTAGCCTGGACATTCTACTCCGCTTAATCACTTCCACTCAAACAACTGCTATCGAAAACGAGAAGCATTAATGTGAGTGTACCTTGTTTGTTACACCTGAAGCCGGAAGCTGCCATACTCTTGGTGACCCAACTTAGACAAACACTAAATTCTTATGCTGATTGGTTCACAGGGCATGATTAAATGTGTGCATACGTTTCGCCACCACACACGGTGGCAATGAGGATGCCACTCGGTTAACCATTCAACAGATGAACTACCAACCCGGGTTACCAGTCTTGAAAATCATTTCGAACATTAAATATGAGTGGAGATCGTGCGTAGAACGAATTCCGCTGCACCCTCCAAACTTTCGGTTATTATAACTCAATTTTACAAATAAAATGCGTTGTTACCTCATGAATGCCGCTTAATTTAGACTTACCTGATCACTGTACCATTTAACTAATATAGTTTGCACCAGTTCGTAGTACCTGAGTACTGGAACGTTGCCGGTGAAATACTTGACTGCAGCAAGTGGCATATCCTATATGGTTCCTAAGTTCTACCTCGACACCTTGCTACGCAATCTTCAGATTGGCACCGATAACCACTGGCGTCTCCAGAGGAGATCCGCATGTTCTGTAAATTTACGTGAATTGAATCTGATACGCCTATGAAAAAGTACTTCTAGTCTCTAAGGCTCAATCGTGGCACATGTATCTGGTTGATAAACATAGAATCCTCCAGGACACCAAATCACCAAGATGCGGGTGGGGTCAGTAATCAAAATTCCGAATCCGAAATAATGTTTCCTAAAGCAAGGAGTATGAATTGGACTTCATGAACTCTTACAAAGACTGTGGATTAATTCGCAATTGCAAACTACTGCTGCGCAAGTGATCACTGCGGCCAAAGTAGCTCCGTCTATCGGATAATTGACCATGAAGATCATACAAATACGCCATCCACAGAATGAAAACGAAGAGCTAACAGCAGGATTGCTACGACCACATAGAATCTTGGTAGATCACAAACCAAAGATGTTTTGGGAGGAACGCTTTCAAGGCCGAAAGGGAAGGTTGAAATAAGTCAGTCAGAGTGATGTTATCTACAATATGGAAATATGGCCCACATTCATTGGTTTCCATGCATGAAGACGAAGAAGGCCACCACTTGGACCGGGAGAACGTAAGGACCCGAGTCCGTGGAAATTCGAGGCAAGCTAGAGAATTCTTGGAAGCACTGTATTTTACCAGCGTGTTTAACTAGATGCCTAAAATACCGCACTATGGACGAAAGATCATCGACTTAGTCAAATAAATCCAACGGAACTGGACGCCGGAAAAACAAGTCTAACGATGTCAACCGCAGAGATACGTGTGCCAGCGTTACGAGTTACGAATCAGGGAGGTCGATTTCGATGGCCATGTGCCCGTCGAACGATCTAAACTCAAACTGAAGGCTTGTTCGCCTAGAATATCGAACAATAAGATGCACAGACGCTTCGCGTCGCGTCGCACTGCTACACAATAGCGCACTGATGATACAAACTCGAGCGTTGACGAAACGTTTGCCGCCAAACTGTTGAACTTAGCGAACACCTAGATCAACAAATGTGCTCCCATATCAAGCAAACGAAACTCAATAAGCCACAAGTGCAACCGGTCGTGCTGGCGGATCTAGTGGGAACTGTGATTTGCCCTCAGACGTCTTCGAACAGGGTCCAAACACGCTCATAGGTTATTTAGGTTTTCAAATGATAAGAGCGGACAAAGTAGTGAATAAATGCTGAAAACCAGAGCAAGTACTGGTTTCAGGAACACCACACCTCGGACAATCGTATCCAATCCATAAACTTCAAATCTTCCTTTGGACACTGGCGACGCGGTCAGACACAGTTCAAAGTGCAGCAATACATTTATGAACCCAAGCAACACAGCTACACACACATGCATGTACACACCTACATGCATTCCTGGTTCCACAAATATGACAACCGAGTGCTCGAGCACTCGTTGTACCCTTGCCATGATCATACCTGTGAAGAAGTGCCTCTCCTAGTCAAGAATAAACGATCTATTTACTTATTTACTCGGAAACGGGGCATTAGAATGGGATCGTCAATACTACTAGGCGGCACATTATCCTTAAGGTGATCCGTAAGGTGAGCATACTCGTCCAAGGTCGCACGGTGTTGTGCATACAGAAACGGAGAATATCAAAGATGAGGGGGAATTTGAGGTAGTTAAACGGTGGTGAGAAAGAACGCAACATAGCACGTTTTACAGCCTGCACTTCAGCCTAGGGTAGCATCGCAATAGCGCTAGGAAAATGAGTGGGGTAGTTGAAATATTGGTCTAATAAGTTGTGTGGGCATGTAGCTCCCCGCTTACCCAGACCGAAGAAAAGAGTTGACTTGGGAGGCCCCACTCAGACTTGTAAAGAGCTGACCTACAGCGAGGTAAATGACGTTTATTGCACACAGTTTGGAGATATCTACCACAGATTTCTAGTAGGAACAAACGCCCATGGAGCTCGAGTAAAGTAGCACGGATGCAAGAGAAATTCCCTGAACCACGAAACTCGCCGGTGAGCACGAAGACCCTCGATAGCAAGGTGGCTCATACACCTACGTAGAAACCGGTGACCATCGAGACTGTTCATCCACACTCCGTTGGATACTCACTTTTGGTCGCATAAGTGAGTTATCAGAGATCATAGAGCCGGTCACATTGGCTTTGACAGTTCGAAATGATTTGGGAGGCTTGCTTAGTTGTTGTGGAGTTCTCCGAGCTGGGCAACTTGATTGCAAACGTTTCGCTACCATTCCAGGTGGCATCTTCAGTGCGGGATTGATAACAGTTAAGTAGCAGTAGCTGGTAGAAAGCAAACCCAATAATGGATCAATCTCGCACTGAAGATGCCACTGGAATGGTGGCGAAACGCTTGCAATCAAGTTGACCAGCTCGGAGAACTTCACAACAACTGGGCTTTGACAGTGTCTTACGGCCTATTGTGGTATTTAATGAGGAACTACGTGATGAGCCAAAAATCACCAGGTTCTAGGAAGCTACTGCTGATTGTCTCTGGCTGCCAAGTCATCCCGCCTGCGAACAATCAGGGCTTATTCATGGCTACCTTCGCAAGTTGGGTGCTCTTCGATCCAAAACACAGGACAAGCCTCGTGGCGCGCAACTGCGCTGAGCTTCTGATTCACTAAGAACAAGTGAATAGACAGAGTGTGTAAGAACAGCATGATGTCAGTCCAATAAGTAGAAGTAGTTTGGATTGCAACTCGCTTCCGACATTCTGCATCAGCACAGTGCACGGTTCCCTATGTGTGCGTGTAGGTAACAATACTGGGCCTAGTTGGATTAGGCTACGAGGTGAACAGTCCACTACACGGCAGAAGAATAGGTGTGGAAAATGGAGTCGGATTGCACGCTGCCGCTAATCGGTCATTAGAACGAACACTCATAATGAGTCAACATCACATGCAAGACATCTAAGAGGCAGTGTCGCAAAAAAAGGAACAATGTAGAGCTTCTAGACAACTTTGATAGAACAAATAACGGAACGACGCAGCTCCAGTTGGATGCAAGTGCCATTATATCAAAAGCCCATCTCTAACAACGAATCGCCATCAGAAGTAGATCAAAGCTACAACCTAGTGCAACAGCTGGCAGGGGTGAAGGGTGACCCAACGTTCACACAATGGAGGACGCACTGTTGATGTAGTCGCGAGAAGCGATCTCGAAAGCGTGACCGTTGGTTTAAGAGCAGATCACAACGGAAACAACACTCCATTTCAATTTCAGGATGAACACAATTCCTGCGATAGTTTGCTTTCCAAGTACGATCGCTATCCGGTTTCCCCATCGCTCCAAAGCCGCATGTCAAAACGCGACCAGTGAACTCACAAGGGTGTTAACCATAGTGTACACAATGACAGACAGTTGATATTCTGACTAGAGATGACATGTCAAACTGTTCGGCGTGCCTTTCCCACGAAACTCAATGGAGCATGAAACCAATGTTGCCACAAGAAAGTAAAGATCGATCATGACAGGAGATCGAAGTTACTCGAAACACTGGTAGGCCAGACTGGCTGTTTACGTGAACATGTGTTGCAGAGCTTGGCGATCGTGTTGGAAAAGCAGCAATCTTACATCACCAAGGTGTGGCGTAGTGGCTCAGTCAGTGAGTAGTTTGGTTTTGTAAAGTCACTAACCGAAAGGGCATGGAAACCAAACTGGGTGCACAACGACGTCACATCCAACGCATGGCACCATGCAAGAAATAACGCCAATCCGCGGCAAAGCGAAGAAATTCAATAGAATCACTGCAAACTTACTTGTAATGTTTAAAAATAATGCTCAAGCGAGTACTCACTCAAATGCACTAAATCAAGGTGCCTTGTCAATACAGACTTCGTAGAGAAGCATCGGCCGCAATGTTCGCACGCGTGGGGCTTCTTGTCTGCAATAACAAACACAACCATATTAAACAACAGTACAAAAAAAGCGACGACAGAAGCGAAGTGCTTCCAAATCGGTTTTTAACAGTAGAAAACCTCACTGACAATTTCAGTCATACTATTAGGTCAAAGAGGTTGCGTAAGCTAGGAGTTTGTTCTTAAGTAAATGATAGTGCTCTGTTCACCCAGGCAAGCAAACAAGGATGTGCGGCGTATGCTACTAGGATATACGACAAAAAAGTAAGCATGTGACTAAAAACCGCACAGAAATTCCGATTGCTCAACAGTGCACCAAGTGTGATGCAGGTGAAAAGTTCTTCAAAAGATTTTAAGGCAACATAACGCTCCATTGCGATTAAATGCAACGGATGAGTGGAAAGAAAATACGATTGCATAAACACCATTCAGTCTCCAGTGTTCAGTTTTATAACTTATAAAGTTCGATAAGAAACGTATATATAT